AACTTAAAAAATACAGTTTTGGGAAACAAAATGCACGTTGTTAGAATTCATGACATTTTTATAAACAGTGAAAGAAGTCAATGACAGAATGAACTCATTTCTGAAGTCTGAAAAATGTTCATTTCAAAAGCTTGACTTTGTCCTTTAGTAGCCGGAAGGCGGGGTTCTTGCTGATTTTCTTGTTAAAAATGACCAGGAGCTCTTCTTCGGGTCTGGGACGTCCATGCGTCACGGCGTAGTACTGAGCTAAAACCTTCACAGAGAAAACAAGCGTCAGGAGGGTGCAGATGATGTGTAAAAACAGCCTTTCTCTAACCAGGGGTGGGCCCATGGTGAAGACACAAAACAGGGAGAGGAGAGAAGAGGCTCCGGTGCTGAAGGCCTTGTGGAAAGTCGCCTCGCTGAGAAACCACCCCCAACAGCCCTAAAGCCCTGCTCGGCGCTAGGCCCAGGGTGGCCGGCTATTGGGAACAGCCACCGCCTCACTTTACAACAAGTCCGTAATGTTGGGACTGCCCTGGCTGGAGAAGTGTGCTGCGCTTTTGTCTGATTCTCTTCCCACAGACCTCCAGGGGCAACGTGTGGAGCAGCTTGACAAACACTCAGATCGACACACACACACACACACACACGGTCATCTAGACAAACAGTGCACACACTCTATAGACACACACACACTCTTCCCAGACTTGTATACACATAGCCTCACACATACATGCATTCACACACACCCCCACACATGTACGCTGCTCCCATAGAGACACACTCACATACACGCTCTCTCACCCACAGGATTTCAATCACACTTCAAAATGAGGATCGGACATTCCGCACGTGTGAGATACCTGGGGCATGTTCAGATCCCATACCTTTTTCTTTAGCTTCTTGACAGCTATTTCATTGTCTGGGGCTTGTTTGAGAACTGCTTTAATAGTCCCTTTCCAGTTGAATTTACCTACAACACACAGAAAAATCTCTAAAGTGTTGTGTCATGCTCTGCTACCGGGATAGCAAGGGAACAATTTCTGCAAGGCCTCTTTGCGAATCTGGAAATGACCCTCCAGTAATCAGGGCATGTAGGCACCTGAAGCCGTGACTGGCCTGTCTCTTCAGAGAGGCCAGGGGCACTGACTAGCCCACAGAGTAAGTGGCTCAACAAGGGTCCTGTGAGCGCCACTCCCGTAACAGACAGCAGGTGTCAGAGGGGAACTGTGCTCCTCCACGGGGCCGTCAATGGTGAGTGTCCACAAGTAGATCACCAGGTCTTTCTTCTGAGTTGCCTCGGGGTGAGCTGGACCCTCCATCTGTACCACACCAGGGACTCTTATCTAACTAGTCACCACACAACTTTCTAGCTCCTGGAGGAGGGAGCAGATACACCTTTCTCTAGTCCTCCTGTGATGTACGAAATCAGTCAAAAATTATCCGCATTCCGGCTGCAGAAGTCAACTTTTAGGGTTATAGGGAGGATGCGTTAACACCTCAAACTGAAGTAGTTTTTGCAGAGTGCCAGCAAGATGCGTGGGGACGGGGCTGGTCAAAGGAGATGGGTATAAGACTCCTATGGTTCAATAGTGAATACTTACTATCAGGACTGATTGTCAGTGCTGCAATGTAAAGGTAGACAGATGCTTTATAACAAAAGGAGGGGAGTGGCTGATCTTGCAGTCCAGGATGGAGGACCCTGGGACCATCAAGGAAGAAGAGTGGAGTGTGGAACCCTATCCAGAGAAGCAGTGACACCAGAGATGGAGGCAGAGACGATGATGTGGAGACATGGAGTAGCTAGGGACTCTGAACTCAGGGAGGGAGAGGGGCTGTGTGCTGATGGCTGGGGGTCAGGCTTGTGGAATGTACCCTTTGGTTGTTTGAATGTTAATATATTCCTAAGTGCTTTGGTGTACATCCAAAACAAAAACAAAAACAAAAACAGAGGGAATGGTGGAAGTCAATGCTGCTGAATGATGGTGTGTGGAAGAGATTGTAATCATTGCAGTGAAACAAAATACGATGAGTGTAAAGCTGACGTTCTCCCATGGAAACTATCACTCAATTCACAACAAAAACCTTCAAAAATAAAAGAAAAAAACAACTCAAAGCATGTACAGAATAAATACTCTCAGAAATACAGGAATGCGGGGGACCTTCCTCAAGTCACTGAAGAGAAGTAAGAAAGACTACCGTTCTTAAAAGCCAAGAAAAGGTTGCCACAAAGAAAGAAACGATGACAGCCACCAGGAATGGGATAAGGAGAGGATACGTGCTGACTTGGGGCGTGACTGTCTGAGTGTGTCTCTTCCAGCCTCAGTCTTCGTAACTACCACCAGCCAACCCTGTCCGTGGTGGGTCTGAATAAGAAAAGGTAGGAGATGAGGCTAACAAGACGATATGCTTCAACTGAGAATGGTTGGTAACAGTTATTTTGTGATTGTGAAAACTTACAAGTCTAACATGGGTATAGCGGCTGTGTACCATGGAGTTGGTTTAGACTCAGCTACCCAGTACAGGGTTTCCAAGGCTGTGAATCTTTATGGGAAAGCCTCCGTTTGCTCCAGCACAGCGACTGGTAGACTTGAACTGCTGACCTTGTAATCAGCAGCTCAGCTCGTAATCCACTATGCTAGCCGGGCTCCCTAAAATGAGTATAAAAGACGCCATTTCGGAAGCAGGAGTGGGGATCCCACTACCATGAGAGAAGAGCCAGCAGGGGAGCACATTCTCGGGGACCTCCCCCCCCCCCCCCCGTTCCTTGTGCATCTCCCCTCAGGGTTAGAGAGGAGCACAACACAGAGTGTGGGCCTCCCAGCCTACGGAACAAGTCAAGCGGAGTGACTCTGGGCAGGAAGTAGGCTGGCAGAGTGGGGTGCCTTCAGGTACATCACTGGGGGAGCTGGGTTTGCTAAGCCATGGAGCTAGAGACCAGGGCCTTCAGGCTGAAGCTGATGAAGTGCTGTGTCCTGTGGGCATCTCAGCAGCCAGATCGAGGGGCTGAGGGCCAGAGAGGGAGGCCAGCCTGTGGGTACGGCAGGCAGGAGAGGCTGTCCTGACAGGAGGAACTGTGCCCTAAGCATTTCTGAGCCTGAACTGTAACTGTTAACTTCCCTAATAATCCCTGTAACCGTGGGTATAGTATCACCCACTATACGAGAAGCAGAGCAGACGTGCTGCTCAGTTTTGTCACCCGTGGGGTCCAGTGCAATGGCCCCAGCCTCATGGAAGGAAGCCCAGGGCTATGCAAGCAAAACATCAAAGTAGCCTGGGAAGTACCTGTGATTTCTACAAAGGTTACTAGGGCAATTTTTACACTAATGGCTGAAAGGAATGTGGAGGTGGTGGCTGTGTGGCATGGAGTCGATTCTGACTCATAGCAACCCTGTGCAGGGTTTCCGAGATTTTAAATCCTTACAGAAGCAGAAAGTCTCACTGTATTCCTGTGGAGTGACCAGTATATCTGAACTGCTGACCTTGTGGAGAGCAGCCCAGTTTATAATCCAATAAAGCTGTTACAGGATTCACATGGGGCAAAAGTCTTTCTGATTAAACATGATGTCTACAGGAGGCCAGGGCCTACTCGATCCACCTTGCCAGCCCTATACATGTGTGATAACAATGAATATTGGGTGTCATGATTTCAAAGAACTTACAAGCCTGCCTTCAGCCTAATCTTGATTGGCTATGCTAACCGGGGAGCTAGGAATTGCCCAGAAGGAACAGGCTTTATTATAAACCAGAGGCCTGTGTCTAGGTGGGGACCCAAGCCCCACCCAGAACTGCTGAGAAAACAGGTTTACCTGTGAAGACCAGCAGGAAAATAAATGAATCAATAAAGAAAGAGTGGCTTTAGCAGAACCCAGCAGAATAAAGAGTTATTTGATAGTGTGTTGTTAGGTGCCGTCGAGTCGATTACAACTCATTATCAACCCTGAAGAGGGTTTCCAAGTCTGTAAACCGTAACAGGAGCAGAAAGCCTCATTTTTCTCCTACAGAGTGGCTGGTGGGTTTCAACACTGATCCTACAGCGACACTGTGAGCTGGTGTAAACTGCTGCACCTTGATGGCTTGCTCTGCACTGGATTCTGCTTGTGATGCAGATGCTCCAAGTTCTAACTAGGAGCATGCCTGTCGCCAGAGTACTGGGTTAACAGGGATGGGCAATTTCAATTGGAGGTCCAAGGTGGGAGGAGACAAAAGCATGAAGTGGTGGGCTTACAAGTTTTCATGGGTGTGCTCAGTGAGCATGACTGTTCTGCATGTATGCTAGAAGAGCCAGGAAGTGGCCTGGACTGTAGACAATGATTCACTATGTCTCTTCTAGCCTTAGTCTTTGCAGCTGCCACCAAACTATTCTTTTTCTGATGGGTCTGAGTAAGAAAGGGGTGATGGGACTCACTTCTGAATGACTGATTACAATAGAGTTCATTGTGACTGTAAAAATTTAGAACCCTAACCTGGGTATAAAATGAGCCATCCCAGAAGTATCAAAGAGCAAGGAATGGAGCGCAGCCTTTGGACTCTGAGATATCCATGCACTGAACCTGCTGGACCCAGGGACAGGAAGCTATGACAACGGAGGAGGGACAGAGGAGCAGCAGCAGGACCCAGAGCAGCAGACACAGTTCTGGGCTTCCCAGCCCATGGAGCAAGTAAAGCTGAGAGGCTTTGGGCCAGAGGTTAGCTTGCAGAGTGGAGTGCTTTCAGGCACTTAATTGGGGTGGGGTGGGGGCTTTGAGAGAGGAAACAATGCATTTGAGCTATGGTGTTGGAGGAGAATATTCAAAATACCATAGACTGCCAGGAGACCAAACAGATCTGTCTTGGAAGAAGTACAACCAGAATGCTCCTCAGAAGCCAGGATGGCCACACTTTGTCTCTCATACTGCAGACATGTTGTCAGGAGAGAAGGACATCATGCCTGGCAAAATGGAAGGTCAGTGAAAAAGAGGAAGATCCCCAACTAAGTGGACTCATTCCATGGCAGCAACACTAGGCTCAAGCCTAACAGTTGTTAGGACGGGCCAGGACAGGGCAGTGCTTGGTTCTGTTGTGCACAGGGTCGCTTAGTCAGAAGCAACACCAGGCTGAGGATTACGGGGCAGTGGTGTGTCCTGGGCATCTATCAGTAGTCCTAAAAGAGCTTTGTAACACTGCCCGGGCAGAGAGGCGAGATGTGCTGACTAGAAGAACTGTGCCCCAAACACTTCCGACCCTGAACTGTAACCTGTTAAGTCTCCTAATAAACCCCATTAACTGGGCGTAGAGTGCATGAGGTCTGTGTGGTCCTGCAATCAATTCTCAAACCCAGACGGAAAGCAGAGATGGTTCGATGCTCATCTTTGCAGAAGATAACACAACACGACCTTGGGGAAAGGAAGACGTGGGGAGGGACTTACAGAAACCCCACAGCTACCACCCTCCATGACTGGGCACGACTTAAGGCGTTCCCACAGGCCTGGGAGCAAAGCGAGCTGTCCGCTCTCCTGGCTCTTACAGAACGTAAGTTGGAAGTTGTCGCCAGTGCAGTATGGAAAATGGAGAAATGAAACTGTCCCTATCTGCTGGTAACAGGGCTGTCTATATAGAAAATGCAAGCAATCTGCCATAACTCGATGAGAACAAATCAAGGATACAGAAAAATGGATCAAGATCAGTTGTTATTTCTACACACCAGCAAAAGAACCACCTCATAGACACAAAGTGGTGTGGAGGTTCTTCAGTGTGTTTGTATGTAGTTAGGGGGAGGGGAAAGTAGGGCAAGTCAACCTAAAAAAATAACCCAATAAAAACCGTACTCTGCACTGGCTATTACTGAAGCGCCATGTGGGAATCCTGGGGCTGTTCTGACTGGGAGCACCTGGGGCTGAGATGGAACCAGAGGAGGAGCCTAGGGGAGGAGGCAGCATTTGAGGGGGCCCTTCAAGGACAGGGGTTGGCAAGAAGACCCCTGCCCCAGCCAGGGGTAGAGCAGGACTAGACCCAGGGAGGCATGAAAAATGGGCTGGGGGTAAGGAGCAGGATCTAGTCTGAGTTCCAAAGAGAACACACGTTTCTGGCCCAGACAGTATCTTCAGAGACACTGTGAGAGACTGCAAAACGGATGGCAGGCCACGACCCAGGCACACACCTGGACAATGTGCTTTGCTTTCAACTTCAGGTGCTCACTGTACGCTGCCTCTGGAGGGTGTGTGACCCAGCAGCTGGTCCCTGCACCGCCACCCCAGCCTGGAGAGGTTGGTACCTTTCAGAGCGGAGTCACAGTCTGGCGACGGCATTCCGCCCTCACTGTCGCCTGCAGGGAGCTTTAGCTTTTTCTTTGTAGAATCAGCTTCTCCTGAGGGTTTAAGACAGATGGAAACACGGACAGTCACAAGTGCACCTGACACTGGACAAGGGTCCCCACGAGCCAGGCGGCTGGCTCCCTCCCAGGTCCCGTGGGCGGTGCCCTGCAGTCTAGGGGTGTGGCAACAGGCCTGCAGAGAAGCCACCTGGCCCCCACACACATGTTGCTCTTCCCCCAACATGGTTCCAGATTCGGGGTCCCAGGGTGGGAGGCTCGGGGAGGGTTCCGAGAAACTCCTCAGCACCAGGTCAGTCGCAACTGTTTACACCGCTTCAAGTATCTACCGAGTGTCGGGGTGCAAGACAAAGCGGGGTGTGTGTGTGTGTGTTTGGTTTTATTGTCACAAACCCCAGAGCATAGGTGAGTGGCGTACCTTCAGAATGCTTCCGTTTTCGGGTTCCAGCTTGAGGCTCTTCCTCCGCGAAGTCCTCCCTCAGAGCCCCATCTCCGTTGACAGTCCCCTCTGTGGGGCCCTTGCCTTTAGCCCTCTTCTGGCCTTTTCTCTTGGCTGTGCCGTTAGACTCCGCGCCGGCAGCCTCCAAGGCCTTCTTGCACTTCTTTGCCTTGCGGCTCTCGGTGTTTTCCAGTTTCAGCTCTTTCTTCTCTTTTTTTCTGTTCTTCTGCCGCTCCTCCTTCCTTTCTCTCTTGTTCTTCCTTACCTCGGCCTGCTTGGCCGGGCCCTCATGCGTGGGGCACGTTGGCGGCCTGGCGGAGACGTCCTTGTGCGGCTGGGGCACTGTGTTGAGGGGCTGTTTCTCAGGCTCCTCACTGGCTGGTTCCTTAGTATTAAAGCAGAAAACAAGAAATTCATCAGGACACAGCCTGGCCACGGCTGCTCACATCGCCACACAGAGCTCCTGGAACGGGTTCAAGATAAACAGTGCTGCGATTTATCATTCCCTAACATAGTGGAGTCCTGGTATGGTGCGGTGCACTAAGGTGTCAGACTGCAAAGTCGGAACTGCAAGATCAGTGGTTCAAGCTCACCATCCGCTCCTTGGAAACCCTATATAGAGTCATTATGGGTTAGAATCAACTCGATGACACTTAACAACAACAACAACATAATGGAGGACTCCTGGTGTGGCGCTGTAGGGTCAGCACTGGACTGCAAACCCCAAGGTTGGCGGTTCAAATCCACCAGCTGCTCCTCAGAAACCCTAAAGGGTCGCTATGAGTCAGAACTGATTCGATGGCACTTAGTAACAGTATCAATATAAAAACAGAACTAGCTGACATGAAGCACACACACCCCAATTTGTGTGTCAGAGTAGACCAGTGAGCCACAGTGTTTTCAATGTCTAGTTTTTCTCCTTCAGGAAGATTTCCAAGCCCTTCTTCTGAGGCACCTGTAGGTACACTTGAACCTCCAACCTTGTGGTTCATAGTTGAGGGAGCACCTAAACCATTTGCACCACTGATGAAAGCGGACTCCGGAAAGGAGCAAGTACAACAGGAGTAACGGAACATTTCTTTAGTAACAATAAGACCCACCACATGGCCACAATTCAGCAAACCGAGACTTTCCAAACGCACATTTTACATTTTATTTTTCTCACTATCAAAGTATTTTGATTGAAAGGCAGCTGCTTTCAACACTCACATGGGATGCTCCCTCCATCAGACGCGGGGTACTGGTGCCCTTCCAGTGCCACTAAATGCTGGGGATTAGGGACAACGCTTGGGATCTGCTTTCATACTTTCTAGTTAGCACCCTCGGCTGAAACCAAAAGGCCCAGCAGAAGAATGGCCTGGTAACCTACTTCCCAAAAGTCACTGAAATACCCCACAGGACAGTTCTACTCTGAAACACATGTCACCAGGAGCCACAATCAACACGCGGTAACTGGCTCTGACAGCATGTAGGGTAAGCAGTGGACTGCAAACCACAAGTCCGGCTGTTCACACCCACCAGTTGCTCCCTGGGAGAAAGACGAGGCTTTCTGGTCCTGCAAAACCTAACAGTCTCTACGTAGGATGGTTGTTGAGTCGGAACCAAATCTAAGGCACCTAACAGCAACAAGACAGTGCCTCGTCACTCCCTGACCCCCACCTGCACCGTCATCTCTCCCCCCATCACAGCACCGTCACTCCCTGTGTGACTGACTTAGGTACTCGGGTCGGATCTGCAGTAAACACTGAATGCTGCTGTTACCGTTAGTGGTCGTGGCTTCGATTCTGACTCCCGGCAACCCTGTGCTCAGAGTGGAACCGTGCCTTCCGAGATACCTCTGGGTGGATCTGAAATGCCAACCTTCCAGCTGGCAGGTGAGTGCCTAACTGATGGAGCCATCTCGCTGTCCACCTTTGCTGAATCAGGACAGCGATGGCAGGGAGCCCAGAGAGTGCACCCCGAAGTGCCCCGCTGTGGTCAGGATGAGCTCATTTGTTTCAGTAGCTTTCTCCACAAAAACAGGGGACCCTCCTCGGTCACACTTCCTGGAAGTGAAGGCACAGAGAAGCTCTGGGAAAAGGAAGACCATCTAGAGCCCCGAAAAGACGCCACCCCATTTCATCCGCATGTGTCACTTCTACCACACATCTAAACAGCGAGCTGGCCCACTTACGTTCCTGGACGCTTCTGAAAAGAGTTCCCACACCTGCTCCAGGACTGACTCACTGTGGATTTTTAAACTGTTCTTCATCCAGTTCTGGAAGATACAATAGCACAAGCTGCTCACCCGTCCTCACACTCGTGGGCCCTCCACATGTCTGCACTCGGGCACCATGGGACGCTGAACACATACCTGGAATTTTGCCTTTTTCCGTGGGATGTTGTCGAAAGCGCTAATCTGCTCTAGCAGATGCCGCACTTTGGGGCTGACATTGGGTCTTTTGATCAATTCATTAATTTTCTACAAAGGGAGAGGAAAAAAACAACATAAAGGAGCTGCACTCGAATGTCATAAAGGTCAAACTGAAAAGGCCTCAATAGGGCCAGATGGTTCCGTCTCGCAGCCCAAACTCTGTGATTATGTTTGTACGTAAAACACACAGATTCACACCAAATGTCTCCTGGCATCACTGTAAGCAGGAGTTAGTCAATCATTGCCTTATGGTAAGTGAGTCAAAATAGTTCCAGACAATAAATACAGCAACATCAAAAAACCCTAGTGGTAGTGGTGATGGTGATGGTGGTGGTGGTTATGTGCCGTGGAGTTAGTTCTGACTCACAGTGACCCTGTACAGCGTTTCCAAGGCTGTAAATCTTTACGGACGCAGAAAGCCTCATCTTTCTCCCGCGGAACTGCCGACCTTGAGGTTAACAGCCCGATTCGTAACCACTATGCTACCAGAGCTCCTTAAAAAAAAGAACCCCTAGCTAGTACTAAACCTTAAACCAAAAATAGGTCCGGAAGGCTTCTTAAAACTGAACAATAGTTTAGCTCAACTAGTAAAAAAAATGTCTGCCCTGAGCATTTTATTCTTCTCAGAACAATCAATATGGGATCAAAGGGACAAATGAACCCCAAGATTAGAGAGGAAACTTAGGAGGCAGTGAGGTTATGTTCACGGGGGCAGGGACAACTCAGCATAGAAGGGTGAGGACGATTGCACAACGTGAAGGATGACATCAACATCACTGAGCTGGACACACAGAAATGGTGAGTTGGTTTATATTCCGCTGGGATATTTTCAACAACAAAACTGCTTTCAAATTCTACAAACACACAAAACCCTAGTATTATAAGTACTTGCTCTTCTGCAAGGATCCCAGGTGGTGCTGTAGGATAAGCACTGGACTGCTAACCAGAAGGCTGGCAGTTCAAACCCAGCAGCCGCTCCACAGGACAAAGAGGCTTCCTGCTCCCGTAAAGAGCGGCAGCCTCGGAAACCCTATCCAGGATCACTGTGAGTCAGAACAGACTTGAGGGCGGGACACTTCTGCTCTTCTGTAAATGGCTGTTGTGAAGTGCTGATGAGCTGGTTCCAATCCATAGCGACCCTGTTGTTTCTGAGCGGTAGTGAGTGGTGTGAACCACTGACCTTGCGGTTAGCAGTCCAGTGCGCATCCTGTGGTACCACACCACTCAGAGCATCTCTCAGTCAGGCAGGGGGGGTTTCACTGTGTTTAGATACACACACTAGCCTCCTGTCTGTGAAGTGGTCTCGTTTCCAGCCCACTCTGATGACAACCACACTCAAGACTGACCAACACGGCCTGGCATTCGCACGTCCCGTGATCACTCCAAGCAGACAAGATTAGAAAGCTTCCTTTGTGTCTCTCAGCCAAGGGAAAGCTAGTGACGGCATTAGCCATCATCAATCAAACAGTCCTGGATGAAAGACAACAGACGTAAACTGCAAGGCTAGGGGCATCAGAACAGCAACCGACTCTCACAGCACGTTTCCAGTGCTCAAGCTCAGTCCACCTAGAGACCCAAGGGCCCTGCTGCTGGCTGCACAGACGGCACGTTGACTTGGCCTCTGAGGCTTCCAGACACAGTGGGAGCTGGATGGGAAGCTACCTGAAGCGTAACAGAGACTTTACCTGAATCCAGGCCTGCTGCTTAATATCACCTTTGTGGGTTTTCCCTTCATAACCTCTGCCACCGTACTTCTGGTCTTCACTGATACATTTCACGTGGTTTCTGTAGTCATCGCCCCTTCAGAGGGAGAAACAAGGACACCGTTAGATGGACACCAACTGGAGGCTCAGCCTGGTGCGGGTCAGCATCTCACATGCGCCTTCAAGCTGCTGCATTGCACAAGTGTCTGTGGCCAGAGTCCCCCAAGTTGGCCACTATGTTCATAACCTCCTGGGAGGGACCACTTGTCTGCTGCCTGCAAAGCCACCACTAACTTTTCACCCTGGACGTCTGGTGTGGCATTGCAGGATCAGCACTGGAATGTGAACCACAAGGTCAGCGGTTCAAGTCCACCAGCTGCTCCTCAGAAACCCTGGACAGTGTTGTTACGAGTTGGAACCAGCTTGACAGCACTTAAGGACAATTTGTCACCCACTTCTCAAAACATAAACTGTCTTAAACCAAATGCTCATGCAGCTGTGTGCTGCTGCTGCTAGGCTGAATGAGAAAAGAATTCTGTCATCAGGTGGTTTTTCGACAGCACACACTGAGGATGAAGAGCCGTAAAGTAGCCCAAGTGAGTCAAATGGCCAGAGTTCTGAATAGTGGCGTCTAGGGAAAAGAACACAGGTTCTTTATTCTACGAGGGGCTTCACAAAGTTCATCAGACAGTATTTCTAACGTTCATTACTGTTGCAGTAAATGCTCATGCTCTGCTATGAAATCATTTATATGCGTGTTTAATTTTCTTAGCTTTTCCTGGGTGTATAGTTTAAACAGGACTCCTGGTGTCGAACTGTGGGGGAATGCACTGGACTGCAGTCAGTTTGAACCGCAAGTTCGGCAGTTCAGGCTCACCAGCAACTCCTCCGAAACCCTATACAGGGTCACTATGGGTCAGAACTGACTCAACTGCACTTAACAACATAGTTTAAACAACAAAAAAGTCTACTTAAAACCGTAGTAGTAGTCTGCAGTTCTAGCAAAGAGGAAACTTATGGGGTTAAACTTGGTATTCTCTTTTACAGAACCTTCTAAAAAATTATTTTTATGTTCTTTTTAATAAATATTGTGTATGACACCTTTAAAACATCCATGTTTGGATCAAAACAAGACCCAGCTTTATTTTCTGCTTGCTGCAAATTAAGCAAACCTGCTATAATAAAAACAAAATGAAGAGGGAAAAAACAAGTTCATAGGGATGGTGGAAGGCAGTTAAAGAGAATGGAGTATTTTCATTGATCTTTGACCAGTTCTATGGGGGTCCTTGGGGCAATGCTGGGGTAGACTGAGGGCCAAACCCCCCAAACAGACACAACACAATTTCCCTGTTTTATAGCCCAGACTATTCCTGAGGAGTCCGTCTGACCACCCACATTTGCAGTGGTCCAAACGCTGAAAACCCACTGTTCTGCAATGGGATTCAATGGATGCTCCCAAACCTCACAGAGGCAGATGCTGGGGCTGACCCAGCCACTCGCCAGCTCTTCAGCTGAACCCGCTGTACAGCCAACAGAAAACCAGAGAGGTTGGCTATTTGCCAAGAGCCCACTTGACAGAACTGGGTGAGCATGCCACCACCTGTGTGTCCCCTCACCCTCTCAGATACCTTGCTTTCCTGACTGTCCCTGTGATAGTGTCAACTTGTTATGTGGTTTGTAAGTTAAGACCTAATAGTCCTCTATGATGAAGTCCTAGTGTGGGGCAGTAGAAGTATCGGATTGCTAACCGTAACCCTTGTTGTTAAGTACCGTTGAGTCGGTTCTGACCCATAGCGACCCTGAACAGGGTTTCCGTGGATCAGCTGGTGAACGTGAATCACTGACCTTGCAGTCCAGTGTGTCAACCTGCAATGCCACACCAGGACACCTGGAAACCTTACAGAGGGTCGTTGTGAGTCAGAGCCAGCTCAACCACTGCACTTAGCACCACCACCTCCGCCATCACATGATCTGACGGGAGCAGCCTACGTGTGGTAAACCCTCCCTTCTTTAGGACTAGATTGTATCTTGAGCCACTCTACTGAGACATAAAAGGAGAGAGAAGTGAGCAGAGAAAGTGAACCTTCCTCCACCAAGAAAGACGAGCTGGGAGGGAGCATGTGCTTTGGACTTGGGGCCCCTGTCCTGTGAGGATTCCAGATCCAGGGAAGACTGATGCCGAGACATGTGGAGCTCTCAGGGAACGCTGAGCCTACAGAAGCTAGAAGGAGACAAGGACCGTCCCCCAGAGCCCATGCTCCCATAGTGGAGTCTAGCCTCAACTGTGACAGAATAAATCTGTCTGTGAAAGCCATCCACTAGGGGTGTTCCTGGGACAGGAGCACAGGGGAACTCGGACTCCCCTCATAGGGGAAGGGTCTCCTGACAAGGGAAGAGTCACCTTCTTTTCTGCAGAGACCCCTCACTCCTCTTCTAATTGAAATCTCCCCCAGTGTATAAAGTTAGTTGGTATTCTGGTTTATAAATCTTTTATTGGTGAGGAGTCCTGGTGTGACACTGTAGGATAAGCACTGGACCACAAGGTCAGTTAGAACCACAAGGTTGGTGGTTCAAAGTCACCAGCCACTCCTCAGAAACGCTATGAGTCAGAACCAACTTGACAACGCTTAACAACAACAATGGCCGGCACAATACCCCTAAACTAGGAAACTGGCTCCAGGGTCCATGAAGCCTCATTCTACGTGCTGACTTTCCGGGCATGGTAACCATGGCAATGAGATGACCCCGCGGGTCCTGACTGAGCAAATGTGCAACCACACTCCCTTTCCCCTTTCTAACGTTCCCCACGGAATCTTCTGGCTTTTCTTTTTGGTCACTTCATGCTTCCCCCTCAAACCAAATCTCATGTTTTCTATTAAGTCACATCCCACTCATGGTGTCCCGACATGAAGAGCAGACTGCCCCAGAGTTTCCCTGCTGGGTTCAAACTGCTGGCCCCTTAGTCAGCACCCAAGTGCTTTGACCACTGCATCACCAAGGCTTGGTGTTCTCTTGTTCAACTCTTAAAATTTCCTTTAAAAAGCAAAGAGGGCTTTAAAAACTGTTGAAGCATTTTTAATAGAATTGTAACAATTTTAAGTGATGGCCTTTTCTCAAGGGTCCACTTCCTCACTTTTTTTTAACACTTTTATTAGCATTGTATTTTAAGCTTAATGTACACCAAGCCATAAGTTTTTGTTTCTTCAGAGATCTCTTTTTCTTCTCCTCTTCTGCTTTAGGTACAATTTGTTCCTTTTCAGTGAAGCTCATTTCAATTTGGCAGGGGGATCCGACCATGAGCTCGGTAAGCTCAGTGGCGCATCTCAGGGGCTTTGTTAACCTGGATGTGCTCTATGACCAGAGAAAGCTACAGCTAATCCCTGGAGTTCTGTATTGCTCTCTGCATTTCAAAGCACGTGCAGCAAAACTTCAGCGCTCTTTCTGAGCCACCGACTCCGGGTCCATCCCCACTGGTGGGCCCGGGCATGTCTACCAACACCACCATTGGGACATCGTCAGTGCACATTACTTCTGTAAACTGACACCTTTAAGGCACTTGGTGACTTTCCGGATATGCATACCCATGGATGGCCTGGGCAGTGAAGTGAGTAGTGATCCATTTTAGGAGGCTACCTCAGACCACTTATGGGAAGACTATCTCACTTTTCACACATTGTGGGCCCAGGGCCTCCCCAGTTGTCTGGACCTGCACTATGAACCTACACCCAGCAGGAGCTTACCAGAAATCTTTACCACAGTCGATGCAAGAAAGGCATTCACAGTTCCTGCAGACGGCCACGTGCTTTTCCACCTGTACCTTCTTCACCGATTCACCACATGCATTGCATGTAAAAAACACCATTTTTAGCTAAATGATTCAGTAGTCTCTATCCAAAACAGGTTTTCAGTCTTGTCCTATAAATAAATAAATAAATAAGATAAGACAGAGAAATTATTCAGACAGATAACTTTTGTTCTTAAAGTTTTTATTGTGAACTGAGTGATAGTTTACATAGGGGAACATCGGTTTTACACTCATCGCTTCATTGCAACGATTGCAATCTCTTCCTGCATCATCATTCAACAGTATTTGCTTCTAGTCCCCCTGGGTGTTTTTTGGAATGTACACAAAAACACTCAGGACTATATAATCATTTAATCAACCAAAGGGCACCTTCTGCAAGCCTGCCTCTGGCCCCCAGCACACAGCCTTTCTCTTTCCATGAGTCTAGAGTCCTCAGCTCCTCTAGTTCTCCACGCCTTCATCTCTCAGCTAACTTTTAAACCGTAATTCCATATGCACAGAGCAGAATTACAGCAAAGGAGAGATGTACATCAAACTCTTAACACCCTGGGTCAGATAAGTAAGCAAAAGTCTCCTGGAGAATGGGCACAACAGCTGCCATCTGCTGACTAAATGCTTACCGAGTCCTGGACACTACCCTGAACCCTGAACCCTTCACAGCAGCCCTGAAAGGATGGGCTCTTGCAACTCAAGAAAAACACACACGTTAGTTACCTGCCCAAGGTCACATAGAGGCACACCTGAGCTGGCTTTAGAAACAGAATAGCCATGGGATGTTAAGCGACCGACCTTAAATGATATACACAAGTATGTACGTGTCTGTGGTGGTGATGGTGGTAGTGTTAGGTTCCAACTCCTAGCAACCCAAGTACAAGAGAACGAACCACTGCCCGGTCCTGTGCCATCCTCACTGTCACTGCTGTTGGAGGTCATTGTTGCTGCCACCACGATGATGCGTCTCCCTGTGGATCTTCTCTGACTGACCCTCCACTTTATAAAGTGTAATGTCCTCCTCCTCCTCCAGGGACTGGTCCCTCCTGATAACACGTCCACAGTACTCAGACACAGTCTCACCATCTGGCTTCTAAGGAGCACAGATCTGTAGGTTCTTCTGGTAGTCCACAGGCCTTTCAAGATCCTTCTCCAACACCATATTACCAAGGCCTGGATTTCTCCCTGGTCTTCCGTATTCTCTGTCCAGCTTTCACATGCATATGAGATGACTAAAAATACCAGGGCTTGGGTCAGGAACCCACTCTAGTCCTCAAACTGACAGCTCTGCTTTTTAATACTTTAAAGCAGTCTTTCGCAGGTTTAGCCAATGCAATACGAAGTTTGATCTCTTGACTGCTGTTTCCGAGTGTGAATGTGGATCCAAGTACACTGAAATCCTTAACAACTTCGATCTTTTAAAATATAAATATATATGTACAAGGGGGCTTAAAAAAGTTAACGAAAAAATTCCATTCACTTTTAATTCCATTCCCTCACAAAAGTTTTGAAGTCCCCTCATTTTTGCATATTTCCACCACCCATCTGGAGTTCTAGTAAGGTTTGTTGTTGTTAAGTGCCGTCGAGTCGGTTCCGACCCATAGCGACCCTGTACAGGGTTTCCAAGGGTGTAAATCTTTACGGGAGTAGAAAGCCTCATCTTTCTCCCGCGGAGCGGCTGGTAGTTTCGAACTGCTGACCTTAAGGTTCGCAGCCCCATTCGTAACCACTACGCTACCAGTACTGTAGGATAAATATTAGACTGTTAACTGCAAGGTTGCTGGTTCAAACCCACCAGTTGCTCCTTGGAAACGCTATACAGGGTCCTTATGAGTTGGAACTGACTGCACAGCACTTAACAACAACAATGTATCCACAGTGACTGAGATGTGAGACCTGAGACCTGATCTGGGGTTGGTGAATAAGGAAGAGGAGGTGAGAGGCCTCAATCCCACCTGCTCAGAAAGAAACAGACTCATAGCCTCAGGATCTCTGCTGCTTGGTGCTGAAACAGACCCACACCCCAGCTTCCGTATGCTGGATGCTAAGTTCCGGGAGAGTGTTCACGAATCCAGGCGCCCCGAGTGCACCCCCCGGTTTACACATGCCGGCACACACACATTAGGACCATCTTTTAACTGTACGAACCTACAGCTGCAGTCAAGCTTGATCATACAATTTCATCCTGGAAGGTACGGACGTCATAGTGACCTCCCCAGGTGACCCACCTTTTCCATCACTACAGCCTAAGAGGCCTGTCCCTCTCCGTCCTAAGTTAGAACTATCTAGAACTCCAGTTTAACCCCAGTGCCTTCTCCCACAGAAGACAAAACAAAGGTAGGGACCAAGTCAGGGGAAGACTTTATCAGAGGCCATCTGTCAAATAAGCTATTCCTGACTTCCGGAGCACTAGCACGTGTGACTGGCTGGCCTCCCCCATCACTCGTTTCAGACAGCTGCTGGCCAGCTCACAGGTAAGCAAAGGGGCAGGGCTGGTCACGTGAATGGAAATGTGCGCCCTTGTAATGCAGGCTCCCAACCCCAAGTTCCCTCTCAGCTTAGTGTGTGGTCAGCTACAGCCCAGCCTCGAACCCTGAGAAATGCAAGCATAATGTATCTGAATGTTCAGCAACTACCACTATCTTACTTCCAGGATGGGTGACCTCGCTGCCAGGGGGCTGAGCCCCCCTTCACTGTGGACTACTCCCTCAAGGTTTACCATTCTGTAGCAGGAGGATAAAAACCCCAAACCAAACCCACTCCCATCGAGTTGATTCTAACTCACAGTTACCCCAAACAGGGTTTCCTAGGCTGTCCATGTTTACGGTGAGTTTGAACTACTAACTTTGAGGTGAGCAGCCCAAAGCTTCTCCTACACTTAGGGCCCCTGGCAAGGAGGATGCACTATTACAAGCATTGGTCACACCTCGCTTTGCCACGAGAGTACAAAGATAGGACCAGGAGCTGACGCCTCAACATCTCACCTGAGGAGGCTTCAGAAAGTTATGGGAAGATAATGGAAAATTTCCATGAGTTTTGGAAGCTGCCTCATCTTTGGTAGGCCCTCTTTTGTGGCAAACCAGGAGCAAAACATGAGCCACACAGCAAAAACCAACTGCCATGGGTTAACGTCTCCCCCGACACTATGTGCTGGAGTCCTAACCCTCTACCTGGGGGCGGGATGCTGTTCTGTTAATAGAAACCCTGGTGCCGCTGCAGGATAAGCACTAGACTGCCAACCACAAGATCAGTGGTTCAAAGCCACCAGCTGCTCCGTGGGAACAAGATGAGGCTGTCTGCTCCCAGGAAGGCTTACTGCTTCGGAAACCCTAGGTACGAGGATGAGTCAACATTATCTGCACTCTAGCTGTAGAATTTATTGCAATCAATTTTTCTAAACGATAAACATAATTTTTCGACATAATCTCCTTGCTTTTTAAATAAATTTTGTCCATCTGTCAACAAACCTTCATAGTCCTTATTTAAAATGTTTTCAGCTGAGCTTCCAGCCACGAATGTATTGCTGTCTTCACTTCTTCATCCTCAAAGGGCTGCTTTCAGGGACCAAACAGGTGAAAATCCAATGGAACAAGACTAGGATTATAGGGAGGATGCTTTACCACCTCAAAATGATGTTTTTGCAGGGTACAACAGTGTGGGCCGAGGTGTGTGGAGGTTCACTTTCATGCATGATCACAAAGCCTTTGGATAGCAGCCCTCTGGGTTTAATCTGAAGTTTAGGCCTTAGCTCTTCAGTGAGCAGCTCACTGTAACGAGCACTGTTGATTGTTGAACCTTTCTCCTGATACTGTTCCAATACTGGCCCTTGAGAATTCCACAAAACTGTAAGCATCAAATTTTCAGCTGATGGCTGACTTTTGACCCTTTCCTCGTTCAGCAATTGAGGATGTTTCCACTCCATACTCTGCCGTTTCCTTTCAGGCTCATAGTGAACAATCTATGTCTTATCACCAAAGATTTTTTACAGAAACTTTTATCTTCCTTTGAGTACTGGTCCAGATTTGTTTGCAGATGTCCAAACGCCTCTGTTGATGTTTTTCCATGAATTGTTTCAGTACCTACCTCACACAAACTCTCCAACACCCAAATCTGTCGTGGATTGGCCACATGAACCACTGCCACTCGTCTACTCAACAGGATCGTTTCACGTGCACACCCGATCTTGTCATCCACTGTGGATGTGGCCAGGCGTTTCAGTGAAATTGGAGTGTGGATAATTTTTGACTCACCTTCGTAGACTGGGTCCCTGTGAGTCGGAATCAACTCGATAGCCGTGGGTTGGTTTTGGCTTTGGTTCAGTAAGCCATATAACCAATCACCTCTGAGTCACTTAGAGTAAAAAGGCAGATCCAACAGAGAGATAACACAAAAGGGGAACCGAGGAGTGTGGGGGATACCAATGTTCCCACAGTCCCTCAGAGGCCTGGGAGCCTCTAGAACAAGAAAGGCCATTTGCTCTTTAAAGACACCCACTTATGATATGTGTGCCATCCCAGACAGTGAAGACGATCAGGTCCAGCAGGGAAAAGCAGCCACACTAGTCCACCAAGTCAGCCGGATGTCTCCAGAGGCCTGCATACAGCAGCAATCAACAATCGCTCATAGCAACCCCATGGGGACGGGACCGCTGGGAGCCAGCATTGACTCTGCAGCAACAGTTTTGGCTTTTTAGAAAGATCAACAATGGAAAGAAAACTCCCCCTAGTCAAACAGAGCTGGCCTAGAGCATTCTCACCTTTGTTGTTGAAGACCACACAATCTGCTGTTCAAGGTGGAGAGAAGAACCTAGGAGAGGACCTTTCTTTAACTGGGAGATCCCACAGGGAGATTCCCCACTCAGCAGTCTGCAGCACAAGGGCAGCTGCAAGCAAACGGGGAGACTGAGAGCAGCCGGGGTATTTGCTGCTCCATCCCTCCAGGGAGCTGCCGCACCAGCACAAACATGGAGAGACTGGCACCTGCTCACGTGCCCACTGGACAAAGATGCTTCCAACTATTTTCAACGAATCTCTTCTGACACCTATGTACATATTTGGTGGTTTGGG